TTTGTAAATTTCATATTAAAATATTTAAAATTTCCAGCTTCAGCCATTTCCAGCTTCAGCCACGACAATTATTATTAACACTTTCTACTCAAATAAAGAGTAAGTTTAGTTTACCTTGTAAAAAACACATTTTGAATATTATTTTTAAAACCAATTGCATAATTTTCTTGCTTTAAAAGCATTTGTTGATATTTCTATTAATCTAATAATGCAGGATTTTCCTTCATGAATTAATTTCTAATGCTTCAGATGCTTTGGATAAGATTCGATATGAATCACTTACTAATTCTTCAAAACTTGATAACGGGCACAACCTTTATATCCAAATCATTCCTGATAAAAAAAATAACATTCTTATGTTACGGGATACTGGAATTGACATGACCAAGGTATCACTCAAAATGATCAAAGATATTATCGGAAAATGTTACTTGATTTTGCTAACAATGAAATATTTACATAGGCCGAACTTGTGAATAATCTTGGTACTATTGCTCGTTCAGGTACTAAGAATCTCATTGAAGCTTTGCAATATGGAGCTGACATTTCTATGATTGGTCAGTTTGGTGTTGGTTTCTATTCTGCCTACTTGGTTGCAGACCGTGTTCAAGTAATCACAAAGCACAATGATGACGAACAGTATATTTGGGAATTGTCAGCCAGTAAATCATTCACCATCACCAGTGATACAGATAATGAACTAATTGGCCGAGGCACACTTATTAAATTGTTCCTCAAAGAAGATCAATTATTGGAATACCTTGAAGAACATAATATTAAAGAGGTTGTAAAAAAACACTCCGAGTTCATTGGCCACCCAATCCAACTTATTGTTGAAAAGGAAATTGAAAATGATGATAAAGAGAAGATAAAGGCATTAGAAACCGAAGTGTTAAATAAAATTAAACCTATCTGGAAAAGAAATTCTGATGATATTAAACATGAAGAATATGCTGCATTCTACAAGTCTCTAACTAATGATTGTGAGGAACATTTGGTCGTTAAGCATTTCTCCGTCGAAGGTCAACTAGAATTCAAAGCGATTCTATTCGTACCACGTCGTGCTCCATTCGATCTCTTTGAAACCAAGAAAAAAT